CTTCTGTTGGCCCACATGTCAGCCGCGCATAACGTCAAAGCGTTTGAATGCGATTCGTGTGACTACAAGGGCTTCAAATATCTAACTCTAATGCAGCACCAGAAGCGACACCAATCTCCGTCCTCTGCCCCCAAAGTGGCCACTAATGGTGCACAGCGTTCGCCCTCTAAGTCCAAGGCATCAAACGTTGAGTTATATAAATGCGATTCGTGTGACTTCGAGACGACCGCCAAATACTCGTACGTTTTGCATAAAAATAGTCATAAACTGAACAAACAGTTCCGGTGTGTTGTCAGCGGTTGTAACGAAAAGTTTATGACCGAAAAGAGTCAACTCCGGCACCAGAAAGACAAGCATTCGTTGACTGACAAGCGATTCGCGTGCAAACACTGCAGCGAACGCTTCTTTACCAACGATAGCCTTAGAAACCATTTGGGAACCAAACACAAGGTGTCGGCCTTTGCTTGCGATATGTGTGCGTTTAAGACCACTACCAGAGTGGGGCTCTTTCGCCATAAAGTGGCCGACCATTCGGTCGACGCGGCATATGTTTGCCGATTCGCTGAATGTAATACTTTGTTTGAAAATCAGTACAACTTAGACCGACACTACAAACGCGTGCATAAAAGCGATTCCGGACAGACATCGGGTACCAGTAGTCTAACAAAGGGTCAAAAGCCGACTAAACAGTCGCCGAAGAAGACTGGTCTCAAACCTGGTCCCAAACCCGGCTCCAAGTCTAGCCCCAAGTCTGCCTCCAAGTCTCCCGCATCGGATGGCAATCCATTGAAATGCGATGTCAGCGGCTGTCGCAAGAAGTTCGCCACCGAAGGCAAACTGTTTGTCCACAAACGGGTGGTCCATAAGATGACGCAAATGATTGCATGCGATTGGAGTGGATGTAAACGCAAATTCATATCATTGACTAAACTTACAATCCATAAGAGAGATCATAAGGCGATGGAGAATAAGTTTCCGTGCGTTTGGAAGGGCTGCACATTCCGTACGGACACATTCGCTAAACTCAATCAACACAGACGTCAACTCAAACACAATTCAGACGGTTTATGAATTCATTTGTATTTTGTTTCACTACCAAAATCCATCTCTAACTCTAAGAAACTATTTTAAGTTTTAATTTTGTGTTTTTTGTTACACTAATGGCTTTTTAGTATAACTTAACTTTAATCCACGTTTAATTTGATACTTTTTATGTTTAAATCCAAAACACATTTCATTAATATCAACACCTTTTTACTTACTTATCGCATGTTTTGTTAGTTTGTTTTCAATCGATTTTTATATTTCAATGGCCTTTAAGATGGTCTACATTAGCATCAGTTTTGATCACCTCTTTGTGTTCATAAAATGAAAATATTTTTCATTATCAAATTCATAACGCATTTGAATCTCTTGTGTCTCAATTCATAGTAATTTAAATTCATTGATTATTTTATGAATAGTTGTTATCAATGTTTAACATTTAAATAAATTTAATTCAATACAAATAAATGCAATTTCAATCAATACATTATTTAATGTTAATTTAAATGCAAAGCAAACGTCAGTTCAAGAAATCTAAGAGTTGTTGCGAGTGTTGTCCGTCGAAAGTCAACTCCTTTTCATTGCTGAATGTCTTGAGTGCGCTCTCAATCAGGTCCTCGTAAGTGGTCTCCAAGAGCTCTGAGAGATCCCATTCCCTGTTCGGCAGTTCGTTATTAATAAAAAGTGCACTTTTGGCCACTTGTGGGTGAAAATGCTTTTGCAAACTCTTTATTTCCCACAAACAGCTATTGATAGCACCGGTGGCCTCGGGATCGTCCACTGAATCATCAAACGGATCGCNAGCACCGGTGGCCTCGGGATCGTCCACTGAATCATCAAACGGATCGCTGGCAACCGTCTGAGCGTTTGTCGTACACATCATCTTCGAGAGTGACGGGTGTCTGACGAGTAGATTCCCAATCATTGGCAACAATATTAGACACGCGTCCGGAGAGGCGGTCAGCGCTATTCGGGACAAGCGTTTCACAAAAGAGGCCACAATTTGGGCCGATATATGGGTTGAGGTGAGGAAGACGTCGCTCCAGAACAGGAATCGGGGCCTATATTTCACGTGCAAAACGCCGGGCGTTAAGAGAGCGTAGAGTTTGGCGTAGAATTGCGGATAATTTAGATTACATTTTGTTATTAAGACATAAAGTGATGACAGACTCAACAGAGAGACCACACCTCCGATGGAGTAACTGTTCACCAGAAAGTCCGTCAAAAGTAAGGGGTTCTTAAAGTGTTGGATCAGCTCTTTGTCTAATAAAATGAGAACTTTTTTGTATAAATCTTTGGGCAATCGTTGCCGAAGAAATAGTGTCCAATTGTTGGCAAAAATGTCGGCATCTCTTTCGTAATCAATACGGAAGCACTTCTGGAGGGGTTGTGTCGGAACGCAAAGTATTATATTTTTAGCGTCCGTTTCGACAATACGTCTAGATTTGCGGGTTTTGGACACCTTTTCGCGTAATTTCTTTCTTCGCGGCAACAGATCTGTCGGTGTCTTCAGACGTATGGCTGACAGCAATTCATATGTATTTCTTATAAACACTTCGTCCTCAACAGCCCTATCGACAGATTGTTCTCCATTTGTGTCCACCAATTCGTCCTCTTCTTCGTCTGAAACTTCTTTTAATATCAATTGAATGACTTTTAGTGTGTAATGAATACAGTCATCAAAATCGAGATAATTGTCCTTCAAATTGGCGATCAGTTGTCGATTATCCACTTTATTGGACAATAATTGTCTGCAAATATCGTTTAAGAGTTGGTCGGCGAAAGTGTCGGGCGCTTCGGTCGGCACATCCGTACGGAATGGATATTTACCTTCGAGTGTAAAAAACAAGATATAAATCAAATAAAAGTGGTCAACAAAACAATGATCCAAACCTTCTTCGGCCACACATTTCATAAGTGAATTCAATGCCAACTTCTGAGTTGACTTCGAGTACTGATTGTCACCGAGAAGTCTGAGGAGAGCGCCGTTTGTCCGCTCGTAGACACCGATCAACCACTTCTTGTACGTGCGGTTGGCGTCGGTGTCCTCTTCGGTGATCAACAGCTCTTTGGTGTGAATATAACGGATGAATATCTTGTTTAATGATCTGATGATAGTGTCGATCATCAGCGGTGAACACCTCTCGGCCCCAGACGTCTGGTCGGCGTCCAAATCGTCGGTAAGTATTGTCAACACATCCACTAAATTGTTGACATTCTTCCGGTTGTCGATCACTGCCTGTGTCTTAAGTTTGATGTCTTCTATTAGCCGTAATTTGTCTGAATTGATGGCATTTGTGGTCATATTTAGTGATAATTGAAAGCAATTTATAAATTATAACGAAATGAACGCAATGTTTGAAAACATTGAAAAACACGTGCTTTTCATGTGTTTCTATAGTAACTGTATATTGAAAGCAATGCACGCATTGAAAGCCCTTTAAAACGCGGCATAACTTCATAGCAATAATTGACACAATATTTTATTTGAAATTTTAA